GCACTTAAGCCGTGATATACGATTTATCGTTAATTAACATCAACAACGGGCAGTTTAATGTAGGAGATTATTTTCTAGAAACGATTTATGGGTAAATGGTAGAAAGTAAACTTGAAAATTACTTCTTACGATGGCAAACGTTTACTGCCTGTCTATGTTTTGGACACTCCCTCACTCGTTAAATGAATATCGCTGGTAGCAATTTCGAAATTAATCTTACGTACGCGATCTTTGTAAAATATGTAAACTATGTCATTTAAATATCAAGCCTCGGTGAAAATGAAAAACGTACAAAATAGACGACTATCGTTCTGCATTCAAGTAAGTGTTGATTTGGCGCAGGCGTTTGAGACCGTGGAGTGCCCCATAATTGATAACATTTATCACGACCGCCCTTAAAAGCGGACTGCCGACGTCTGTAATTATGTTTGTACAGTGGGCGACTTCGAGCCACTGGATTGCTTTGATCGTTTTCCGATGTTTGGCGAAGCGCTGGCATTCGTGTCGCCGATCCTACAGTAAAGAAGAGTAAACGAGGCGACGCGCGAGAACCAACTTGTGGCTAGCAGTACTTGTATCAAGTAACCAGTCCTCTAAGAGTGCAATTTGAATTCTCTAATTTGCTGTAACTTGTGAATTGGGGCCCGTTTAAGTTGTGTACAATTTTCTTTGACATTCCTTGATGATTTGTTACACGTTCATTTCGCTTTAATATTTGACTTATTGCGTTATTTTATAAACCATCATCATCATTATGATATTATTTTATACATATGATTCAATAAATCTAAAATAATATTGATACAAATTACTATACATCAACATTTCACATATTAAAACTTTCAGCTGTAACCTAACAGCCAGTGTGTTTAGTATGAATAAGTGTTACTGTCACACAGTTTATGACAGCATAATATGTGAGGGATATGTATGGTCACTTCTGTGTCCGTAAGCGCCAGCGCAAGCACACACTGGATAAAACTGTTTATTAGTTATATTAGCCATGTGGCAAATTATGGTCACACAAGCAATACACTATATGAAACATCAGAGCAATATAGTACCACAAATGATATGGGAATATTCCACAAGTTAGAAAATGCTCGTATAATTACGTGTCCATTGTTCCTCTCTTAAACTCTGTCTATGACATATCGTCTCTATTCCGAACTCGCGTTCCGGAAATGCGTTGTTGAGTGCGTTCGGAAACACCACACGTTGTTGGTGCGTTCGGAAACAAGATTGATCAGAACTGTGTTTACAGTGAAGATTGGCTCTGGATTTTTTATGTACTCATACAGACAAATGTTATCTAATAGAATGTTGTTTCGGATTAGTCCATAGCAATTTCAAGTACGAGTGTGATTTGAGCAAAAGCGAAATTGTGTAGTTTTAAACAATTTTTTTTAATATAGACATGGTGAAAGATGCGCACAATTTCTTGTAAGTTCTGCAGCCGTTTTTAATCATCAGTTTCGAGCACTCTGAAAGAGTTCACTGCTTCTTTAAGAGTTTGAACGATACACCTTTTAAATTTATGAATAATATTTTTTTATTAAAACAAACTGTGTTTATTTATGATACCCTGCAGATTATGGACTTTCTATTATTTCCTATTAATATGTGGTAACCATAATAATTCAAAGTAATAAATAAGGAGATCGGAATAGAACACAAAGTATCACTTCACCCACTTTGGTTGGAATGAGAAACGTTACAAAATTAGTTGATTTCTCCTTAAGAAAAATATTTAATTAACTATGACTCGGTTGGCAATTACATACAGATCTCGGATCTGAGTTCATACATAGTGTCAGGAGCCTTTCTGAATAAGTGAACTCGCAATTGGATTCATTTTCCATTTACAGTACATTTACATTGTACAATTAATCAAAGAATACAGCAAATAGTTACCATTAAGCTGTTAAATAATTATCCAGAGCATGTAGTCACACGCAAACTGCTTCCTCTTAATTCATCATCATCATCATTTCAGCCTATTTTAGTCCACTGCTTAACGTAAGGCCCCTCCACAGACTGCCACGAATCAACATTCAGAGACATCAACATCAAGATTCATCCTGGATCCATTGAGTTTATGCTCATTTGCACAGGTCGTCACTCCATCTTCTTAATTACTTGTTACACACATATGAAACCGAAAAGCAATAGGGAATTATTGTAGTTCTGTTGTGTCGGGTCACAGATTTTTAACACTTCAACACTTACATCTTACAAAAATTTAAGACTTTTTAAATTTTAAAATTTTCACTTTTCGTTGAAATACCACTGGGCATAGTACTTTAATGACACTTCGTGTTTTATGGGTATGTATATGGACTATAACCGTATTCATGATATTTTTCTTTATTTAGTTTTTTTTATTTAAAAACATTGTCCTTACTTTAGGATAACTAATCGTTTTTGTGTAACACTATTCGTTGTTGTAGGGACGTTTTACAAACATTTTCACGCGGACAATCACCCAGATGCGAAACAACTATCTGTGGGTCACACAAATAGTTGTCCAGTGTGGGAATCAAATCCACGACCGACGCCGTAGCCAATACCTTGGCAACAGCGCCACGAAGTCATCAAATTAGTTTTATTCGTTTTAATTAACGTATTATTGTCGAATAAAATAAAAATTAACGGTTATTTGCGTTTTATTCCATTTTTTCCGAAATAGAAAAATGGCAAATTAGGCGATGGGATACCAATTCCGTGATATATTTATTGACATGAGACTAGGAGAAAAAAAATTAGCGTAAAAGCAGAATATTTCATCGAGTTCAATACTGGAAGAATTCTGAACGCCACGCTTGACTGCTCTAAGTAATTTTCATTCGGTAATTAATAAACTTTGGTACTGACCATTGATGTGGTGTATGGGTATTGTTAAGGAACGTAGATCACCAGGGCTGCCCACCGTAAAAAACCGATTGGATATCATACTTACATTCATTCAAAATCAAAATCAAAATCAAAAATATATTTATTCACATAGACGCTTGCGCGTTCTTATGAAATGACAAAAATTTTACATAAAAATTAATACGTTCGTAAGTTACCACCGGTTCGGAAAGCAGTTTCTGTTGAGAAAAAACCGGCAAGAAACTCAACAGTTGCTCTTTTTTAGAACGATTAGTTTACAATATAATCGAACAAGTATGTCATTTTAGCCTACGTGAGTATCAACAGCATTAACCCCACACATTGGCGTCGTCAAGATATTCGGCAATGGTATAATATGCCTTAGCCATAAGTTCGCTTTTAATTTTGCGTTTAAATTCATCTAGTGGTAGACTTAATACCGATTGTGGGATTTTATTATACATGCGCATACTTTGCCCCATGAACGATCTATTTACTTTTTTTAGAAGAAACAATGGTGTAATTAATTTGTCCTTATTTCTAGTATTTAATTTGTCTGTCACTATTCTTTAGATAACAATTAAGATTATGTCTAACGTACAAGATATTACAATAAATATATTGGGACGCAACAGTGAGTATATTAATCTCTTTAAAAATATCTCTGAGTGTATATCATTAATATCTAAAACTACGCCACCAAGTTCTTTAAAAGAAGTTTTATCAAAAGCCGAATATATTTTAGATAAAGGAGAGGGAACTACTTTAGTATGTGATTGTTACTGCAGCTATGATTGGGGACAGAAGGAACTTTAATGGTTTGTTTATTGCCTGTTGCATTTCTCTTAAGTATTTCATGAACTTATTTATGATTAATTTCGATTAAGTTGTTTATCTTTAGAACTCAACGCCATCTGGTGTGAGACGGTGAACATCAAAAATTAGGAACCGGACTTATTATGAAAAATCATAAAACACTGTCTACACTTTGTCATCTATATACAAAATGAAATATATAATTTTACTTTGAATTAATAAGCGTCGTTACCACCACTAAACGGGCAATTGTAAAAAGTGAAAGAAAATTGAATTAAGGAGTATATTATAATGAATTTGCATAAAAAAACATTACAAAGCATTACCACGATTTCTTCAGAAACAGGTTTGTTGTTTCGTTTTTCAAGGGATTTCATGTAAATGCGAGGATAAAAAATAAATTGTCCGTGCATCTAACCGGAAGAACGATCTAAATCGATTCCCGTCATTCAGTTCCAGTCAGTGTGATTTGTTTCCTGTTTGCTTTATAAACCGACGCGTGTTCTGAATTATATCTCATTTAATTAATTAAAAAACAAATCGATCTGTTTTCCATATCTTATAATTTTACTACGCCAATGCATATTCAACCTAATTCGATTGTTAGTTTATTAGTGAATATAGATATAAACAAGATAGAAACATCTCTGGAACGTGTTAAGTAAACATTTTTTTAATATAATTATGTCTGTCTAGTTTTAGAGTATCCGTCCTGTTTGTGCTTTGTATTTAAGCTTCAAGAACTAAAAAAGTACGATAAGTAGTTTTTTTTAATCCAAATTTGAGTTGAGGTTTTTATCCAGTTTTGGATATGTTAACCCCATTATCATCTCATTTCTATACTAGAAGTACACTATATCTAAGTTATTTTGAGAACACAGAAGCTGCACAACATAATTTTTTTGCCTCATCTGAAATTGTCAGAGACAAGATTGACTGCGCAATTCCTATGTCGTATGAGTTTATGTTCAAGGCTCCCATTATTTCCTCTCTCTCCTTTTTGTTCTTGAGACATTCCATCAAAACACGTTGTACATCCTGCTCAACTCCACACAGATTACAATTCGGAGAGCTTGTTTTTTCATAATGTTTTTCACTGTTGCTTGCAATTAAATAGGACGGTTAAAAGAACAATCCCTCCCAAATAAAAAAATGAAGCAACAAAGGAGAACTAAGAATCGAATTAAGCCCACGGTTTACAATTTCATGAGCCTTCTGGCTATTGCCTGACTCATCCTCTAAGGCTTAAAGTGGAAACATAGGTAATAATGACAAAGGATCTTTGTCAGTAGGCCTTCGATTCAGGGCTATGCCAGTCGAAGACGGTGTGGACCTGCGGATTCGCCACAGCTGCCCGGTGGCATAAGCGGTTGGCAGCCCTGCGGCATAGTAATGGCTGGCGCGGAACGCGGCAGCGGAGCGTGCGGCGGCAGCGGGCGCGGCGCGCCGAGTGATAGCGAGCCGCGCGCCGCCCGACCCAATTGGTCGCCGCTCAGAGCCCGCCCTAGGGAGGGGGCGACACACACAGCCGCGGCGCACCTAAGATAATTTATTTTATGTTATACCGTTTGAATATTTTATATCTGTGTGAGTTTTTTGCGTTCAGTGTGAAATATTCGCGCGATAAGAAAGAAGAGGGGAACAGATCGATCGCGGAGCGTTGCGCTTTTGCCGCGCGTACCGCACGTAAGTTCGGTTTCCATCGTTGACGTTTAATTGCGGACGCCCGGCAATCGGCCACGCACTTCGGACGCGGCGAAGTCGCACCGGACCGAATCCCGAATCGATATCGGCTGGCCATCGCTGAGAATGCACGGCGCTTTTTTCTTACTTCATTTGAATTTGGAACGTGGAATTAAAATATGCAATGAGCGTTTCATTGCGATTGTCCATTCGCCCAACGCTACGCAATTTCTTACCGAACACCGATTCAGTAAGGAATTATAAACGCAGATAATGAACGAATTATCATTTAATATAAAGTTAACGATAAATTCCATTTTTAAGCAATCGGACGGCATTAATTTGCTGAATAAAAATATGTTTATATCCTCTTAAGTGAGGTGGCTTTTACTTTATGGTTTAAAAGATTGGGAAATCGGTTAAAAATTTATTACAAAATCACAAACCATAATAAGCATGCGCATATCTCTTAAGCCAGACATTCGTATGTCGACACACAAAATTTTCATGATAAACATTGCCTGTACCTAAATTTAAACTGGATTTAGCTATTTAACATGATAGCGAGACATTATTATAGTTCTGAGAATTGAAACAACGGCCTGGTAAGGTTAAATATTTTCAGACGATTGTCTAAGATTGTAATAAGAGTTTACTTACATTGTTAGAACTGAATGGCCTAAATAACGATATTAGCTTGAATGTCTATCTTGATTCAAAATAATAAGTTTATGATTCAAATAAAACATTTTGGACTCAAAACTATGATCTATTGATTTGAAAATTGTTCAATTAAATGAAAAGATTTAGATGTTTGCATATTAACAAGTTAAAATAACGAAAATAATGCAATCGCATGAACAATCTCCTCAGTTCTCAAACTGCATACTGTTTAACTTACATTATAATGTATTGTCCTTTTAATTTAAACTGTTAAAGCATGTTTATTGTTCGCCGTACGACTTGATTAATACGGTCCCTCTTAATTAAATAATCGGTCCCGATAAAAGCTTCCATTCGTTATATATCGGCACGAACTCGCACCTTTTATAGATACAAGCCAGTTCAGACCGAGCGACGTACGGCTCGGTCGAACTTTACCGCGGCACAACTGTTACGCATTTGTATGCGACCTGTCGCGGATGGACGAGGCACGTCTCGGGTACGCCGGAGACACCTTCAGAGGAGCTTCAGACGAGAGGCGTGGGACACCACGGCCGACAAACGTCGCGGGTCGCCTTTAATCGCATGCAAAGCCATCATTAAGCCGGCGAACGCGAGGCCCGAACGCCGCACCGCGCGTCCTCGCTGTTAATTATCGCGACATATACGTATAGTGCGGGAATAAAGGGACCGCTCGGCGGCCGGCGGCGGCGGCATAAAAAACACGAGAAAAGAAAGAGAAGCTCACGGGGCGAAAGGGAGGCGGCGGAGAGGAGTGCATGCGCCCCCACCGCGGCGGCCCCACGCCGGCAGCGGGCGGCCCCTCGCGGGCGCCACCCACCGCACCGCAAAAATCGAGAGCGTCGGCGGCGGCGCGGGGTCAAACGGCGCCGTGGAAAGGAGCGCGGTGACGCACACAGGCGCGCGTGCGTGTGCGCGCCGAGAGGGACGGCCGGCGCGAGAGCGGGACGGCCGCGCCAATTACTATCACCTGGCGGGCCGCTACCGCATTACCCACTGCCGCCGCGCGCGCGACGACGCGCCCGCTGCTCCGCGGCCGAACCGCTCCAGCGCTCCGACGCCCGTACTAGGCGATCGATCGCTCACGAGTGCAGCGCTCGCCGCTCGACGCAAACGCTCGCCGCTCGTCGCTTAGCGCCCGCCGCCAGACTCTCGCCGCCCGCCGCGCCATGAAACTGTGAAGTGTGTGCGGACAGTGTTACGGAACCCGCGTTACGAACACGCCGGCGGATTCCGCCACCGCCGTGAGAAATGACGTCCCAGTTCGCCTTCCGCGGATCGCCGCCGAACCAGGTAATGCAGGACGCTCGTTCGTCCGCTATTTCTATTGTGACCGTACTAACGTATTTATATTATTGTAACGTATTCATTATTATTGTGAGTTGCGATGCGATCTCTGGTACTACTAAGGACCTTAGCCTATCCGTTGTTTTGTAAGCGCCCGTGGACGTTTATGTGGTAACGGCTCGAGTGGAGTTGCGCGAAGTTTGCACGAACTTTGCAAAGTAGCTTCGTAATTACGGTGAGGCGGTTTCCGTTAAAGCGAGCTCGTGAACATTGTTTAAGTTTTTTTTTTAGTATCGTTTTTTATAAAATTTCGTTAAATTCAAATTTAAATATATACGATATTATATTAAGTAATTTTATTATTACATAAGGCGCTTAAAAAATTTCGAAGTTATTTTTGTAGATAAATAAAATTCTGGCTTTTCAACGTACAAACATTGTTTTCTGTGGCTTTATATACATTACAAATGAATCAATTTACTGTTATGTCATGTTAGCTTCCTGTATATCCAACGATTTCATAATCGATCCCACGCTAGAAAATTTATACTGTCACACTTCATTCGACAATCGTTTATATGCAGAAACAATATCTTAGTTTTGTAGTTAATATAAAATGCAAATGGATTTTTCGGAAACTTTTTGTATCACATTTGACAAGAAAAAAATGACCACATATAATTTTGAGGTTAACTAAAAAAAATATTTCATCACTACTTAACACTGAAAACTTTGCGTTTCTATGCAAGTGAGTTTAGTAATATATTTTCAGATAATGAAATAAATAAGAAATAGTGATATTTTCCACAGAATTAAGTTTCGTTTAGTGAGAGTATTTAAAGTGCTTGTAGAATTAATTGCGTTAAGTACGAATAGTTATTGAGTGAAACTTTGAACGGGCGTTATTTTGTTTTATATCTTAATAATGTAATTATAGATCTGATCGCCGCTCGAACAAGGAACAGTATACTTTACATTGCATTTTAGAAACACGAGTCAGGTTGATATTAACGCGAAATGTAACCCAACACCCGACAACTCTATATTTTGACACTTACGAAGGAAGCGGCTTCGAGAAAATTTGGTTTAATATTACAGCGGTTTTAATTAGACCCGTCTACGGAATAAATGCTGAATGTTAACACATGAATTTGTTTTTTCTCTCGTCATGGTCTCCATTTATTTTGCTTAATCTAAGACTTTTATAGAAAGTTTAAATACCTACGCACCTAATAATTGGCCTACCTCGATTTATAAGGACTTTGATAGTAAAGTCGAACGAAACACGATTTATAATTCATAAAAAATGCATTTGAAACATGTTGTTCTCTAAATTGGTGAAATATTTATCTTCTTTAGATAATTCTGGATGATTATAGAATGTTAATATTTTGCATGTAATGAGGTTTACACTTTCTAAGTATCTGCATAGTGAAGGACAATAAGTAAGTAGTAAGGCGTAAATACGTCTCTTTTTCATTTATTCTCTCTTAAATATAATTTTAAATAATAGTTTTAAACATCCTAAAATATTCTGTGACAATTATTATTACACCATAAAATGAAAGTGATATGAATGTTGTTCGTGTCTCTACAATATTATTCAATCCACATGTAAACATATCGTTTCATCCGTCAAACTCCGTTTTGATCGATAGAAAAGTAAAAAGATTAGGAAAACGACATCACTTGATAATTTTTCTCAAAAGTAGGTACTTGCCCTGTAAAAATGTTTTTAACAATTCTAGTTAACGTTACTTTCTTCACTTTGTTCACTACCTCTGAGGTATAGTGAGCGCTGCATATACTATGTTACCAATGAAATTGACTTTTTAGACCTATTTCAGATTAAACCAAAACCGGAGCGAAATAGGTATTCAGAACCTCCCGCTCTTATTTACAATGTAAAATCAGCCACAACCAAAAATTATCTGACGAATACGTACAATTTTTGAAACGCATCCTGGTACCTGTTGAATTGTTAGATATGCCCACACATTACCACTTGGCGGGAACCCAAATAGTGTCGTTTTTTAAATTTAAAGAGGCGATTCGATTTTTAAATGTCGATTTTGATGATGGCGTCGATCCGTGAGTTCCAAATTTGAATAAACCGATACGCTATTACGTCCACCGCTCATATAGGACCATTGTTTATTCTCCTAATAAATTAGAGGAGCATGTGGATCCTCGTGAATTATTCGTGTTCCTTATTACTGGGTGATAAGGTTAAGATTCGTCACAGTAACGCTCGTCTAAGTCTACTTCACGCTCATTACTAATTTTTTTTATAGCAAATCTTTGAAACGTAATCGTGGCATTCGCGATATTAAGCAAGCACGTACTAATTTCGTGTATTTTGCTAATTAAGGACGACTTAAACTAGTTATAGAAAAAAATAAAACGATTTCACGATCATTTATTGGCTCGTATAACCGTTGACAATATAGTTAAACGACTCAAGTTCGAATTAGATTTAATACGGATAACTATCGCAAAGTTTTATTTTCTGGCTTATTCTTATTAGATTATATAACAGTTTTATGGGACCAATTAACTTCAAACGGCATGCCTTTTGGATGCCATGGAAAAGTAAAGTACCAGCCTATACATATCCCACTGCTGGGCAAAGGCTTCCTCTGTACCCCACTATTCATTGGCAGAATTGATAGAAGTAATTTATTGTTATAATTTCAAAAATGTTCCGGTTTCCATACGAGGTTTTCCTTAATCGCTGAGCACGTGATAAGTCAGCACTTAAAATTAACGATTTTATTGGTGCTAGCACCGGAATTCGAACTCAAGTTGCTCGAATATGGAATTAATAGCGAGTACACTGAGCTACCACGGCTCTTCATCGCCGTGGAAATTAGTGTTAAAATGTTTTTTTAGTTTCACCATTTAGGGCCAACATACAAAGATTTTTTTTATGCTAATAGGATGAACGGCTTCGAAACGTACGAGGAAAAACATGCATTCATTATTGTTCATAAGAAGAAACTTCAATACCGAAGCTTAATCGTCAATCAAAGCCCTGTTAGTGTGAAACGGGCGAAAAAAAACCAGTCCTTAGGATCATACATTTTCATTGCACCTATTAAAGTCGCAAACGCTGGGCGCCACGCATTCACCGAGCGACGAGAGTTGGCAATGCATCGCTGTAATTAATAACATAGACCTAATTAGGTCCTGAATAAACACTCGCTATTTGAGGTATGATATCGCTGTGCTTTATAAAGAAGCCGCGTTCGGAGACCCGTGTATGCTTAATAGCTACGTCCGATCGGCATTTTTTCTCCGTTTGGCCAGCTCGCTTGTTGGCGACATTCCTGGAACGCCCCGGCCGCGACATCGCCTCCGCCGCTTGAGCACCTCTCGTGTCGCTATCTACGAGTGCGTGCCGGCCGAATTATTAGATCCGCCGTCAGGCTTATTTGTTAAACGATAACGGATTATTAAATTTCGCTGCCGCCAGGCTGATATTGGGCGGTCGCTCGTCGGGCGATTATCTGCGCCCCGGACTATATTAAAACGGTACCCGAGTGTGGACGCTAATAAAGATAATGCCGCGGAATGATTTTGCCCCGTCGCGCGTCGGTGCGCGCCCGCTTTCGCTATCTCGCTCGATAAGACGCCGACATGTGGCGTGCCGTGGGCCTAGCGCCCTCGCCCGTTGGGAATTGCCCGCTATCCCCCATTTCCCGACGTCGCTCGTCCGACCGCGGCGAGTTCCGCCGCTCGTCGACCGGCGGATTAACGTCGAGCCCTGCGACGGGATTTCATCAGCCGCGACGTCGAGGCTTAAACCCAATTAAGGTTTCGAACGACTTTCAGGCGTACAACACACCGTGTGCGGCTCCAGTCGACATAGACACCAGCGGTCCCATTTTGCAAATCATTGAAAATTAAAACTAGCCTCGGCATCATCGAGTAACAAGCAATTCCTAGTATTACTTAAGGGAGCGTAGTAAAATTCGCAATTTAAAGCTCGCGATAAACTGACTATTCGTTGACAGTCGGTTAAATTCATACTAACCTCGTGCGCGTGTTTGCTTAACAAAGTACCGCGACTAATTACCGCTTTGATTCATTTTAACATTGCGAATAACACGGACTCGTCACGTATTGCTTAAGTAATCGCATTGTATTACTGACATCTACAATTAGCGGGTGTAAGAAGTTAACTAGAGAATGGCTTTAAGCTTATATCTAGTAATGAACATAGTATTCAGGTAAGGCATACATGGAAGTTCATAGAAATAATAAGTAATAAAACAGGTTGAAACTTTAAACAGGGAACGAAATTTCCTTTAAATCTAATTGTTATTAAAATGAATTGCAAATCAGTTTTTAAATTTCCACAAAATTAGAGTCAAAAAACTATCCAATATTGACATCCATTTCCCACGATCCAGCATAATACAGATTGTCATAAATGAACCGAATGCTCGTGAATGTAATTCATCTTATGTTAAGTAGCAAAAATAAAACGTAAATAGGAAGGTACGTAAGGGAGTGGATACAAAATTTTGCAGTGAAACGTATTTAATCGTGTACCTACTCTCTGTTGAGCGTTCGTGACCGCGTACAGCCCTAAAACCTTGTCACAGGTTAACCAACTTAATAAAACAATCGGAACGGGCGTATAGTTCAATCTTTAATGCGCTCGTTTGAAATGGAATGTCGGGCTTTTTTCTTCGACACCATTCGAGGACCATTGCGTTCATGGTGTTTTTATTTAAATAGCAATTAAACACAAGAATGGGCTGTAAACGTTTATATCCCCTACGCTTAAAGGGCGCCGTGTACGCTAAGCTTTGGTGGCATCATTTTACTCGCTCGACAAACTCGTCCATTGCCAAGCATTTAGCATCAAATCATCGAAGTAAAGTTTAACAGATTATAAGTGGATATTGTTTTATTTGAAGGCATAATAAAAATAATTTTAAGAAATTATAAAAATATTTAATTATAGTAACCATAGCACCTAATAAAGCAAAATACATCCGGATTATAATAAATGCTTTCGAAATGTTTTTGGACCTCTCATTAGATCATTAGATTGTGTTGTTGGAATTAAACATTGCATTCTGCGCAACGTCGCGGATATTTATTCACTTAATTATTTAAATAGAACCATAGTATAAAAGTATACTTATATTTCAACTTAGTTCAATAGTCATTAATAATATTGCTAACGTTATAACAGTAATCTGACAATTTTTATAACAATGACATTGTTCTGTACCCAGTTTTTATAGCATGTTCTGTAACAATTAAAGTTTAACGATTTACATAAATATTCAATTTGGTTGCGGCAAGCTGAAGTTGGTACTCGCTTACTTGCGATGATACGGATATATCTACTTAGTTTTCTTAATTTATGTGTGTGATTTGTGTAGTGTCTCCGACAACATAGACGAAACATACAATTGAAGACTTCATAACACTTGTGGAATTGACGTCTAATTGATATTTTACATCTCATTTTCAAAAGTTTATCATCAAGACATCATCATATCACATTACAATTTGGCCACATTAAAGTCTACTTCTATTGATGCCACCATAACTGCAAGAGGTTCGAATCCATCAGAAATAGAAAAATTTACTCTGTCGTTTGAAACTGTTCGACTTCTAAAAATTATAATTTTTTTTTTTTTTTTTAGAAGTCGAATAGTAAATAAAAATATTATTCATAATTTATCAATCATTGGTTTCTTCTCACTCTCTCTCACTTCTATTACCTAATATTAATTGTTAAATATTTTCTTATTGAGGGCGTAATGAAAAAGCATTATTTTATGCTATTATTCTATTCTATCGTGCTCAAAAATTATTGTCAGCCACATTGTATCGAAGTATAAGAAAGAAAATTCATTAGTGTAAATAACAAATTAGCAAATTACACGGTTGCCATTCGACTGTCAGTATGTATGTCGATTGTCACTATATGACGTGTAATGTAACAAGTACAGAAGGAATTTAATATATAAATATTAACAAGAGACCCGCCCCGTCTTTGTTACGGATGGAATGTGCATATAAACATTGCAAACACTATCTATTGCTGAAACCCACATTAAAATCCGTTACGACGTTTAAAAGATCTAAGCGTACAAACAACAAGAGCGACTTTGTTTTATATATATGTTATGTAAAAAAGACTAGTATTTACAAGCAAGTAAGATAAAAGACAGATAATTTAGTCAAATTCAGTCTCTGAAACATAAATATTTGTACATTTTAACTCCTAATTATAATTTTATATTACATCAGCAATGACATACCACTAAAGGTATTGTAATATTGTGTTAAATTAAATAGCTGCTATTATTATTGTTTATTATCATAGATGGACAGAAACAGCTAATTCTAATGCTCTTCACAAAACTAAGTCTCGGAACGTCTTACATGTAGAGCCTGAATTGGTCGTTGATATTAAACCTGAAAAATTGCTCGCGACTAGGTTAATAACCTCAATTCTTATAACTTAAAAACATTTTTAAGTTATAAGGTTTATTGAGACCAGTAAATCAAGTCAATCAATTATTGAAAATAATAATCAAGTGGAAATAGAGAAGCAATCGAGATTTAGCCGCTGAGTTACCGAATCTTCCTACGGAGAAGGAAACAAAAATGGGCAAAAACAAAATATGATTTTAATAAACGTTCTCACATCGCGAATTCTTATCGAAGGAATCTTGGCTTTACTGAGTATCCACAGTGATTTGTTATCCGCAGAACGATAACTAATCGCTAGACTTCTCTGATGGCGAGTCGGTCGTACGATTCACTTTGAGAGTCTTCGAAATCAGAGTTGCTACATCGGGTTTCGAACTTAATTTAGCTATCTATCAACGCAACATCATCGATTATATCATTCGCGTTAGCTGATCTGTGTGAAGTCGGATTGATACAAACACATGAGGTCGCATCGGTTAAGGCCAGTTGGATTTTTATGTTCATGCAAATATCATGGACGGATCGAATATTACTAGTGGATAAGTGTTTTTGTAATTGTATAGTGTATAAAGTGATGTGTATTAAGTGATTGCAAACTTTAGTCCCATTATAAACTATACTAGTTTAAACGGATTTAACCTTTTTTTATTATTGAATAAGCGCATTGACTGTGTGTCGTATCTCTCAATATTAATTTTGCTTTCAGATAGAGTATGTCAATGTGATAATAATAATAACACTTCTATTATTTTTGATTACTATAACTTCAGTTCTGTGTTTTGAATCCTTCTTTCTTTATTTTTATTAGTATCTTCGGATAAAAGAAATATTTCACTATCTAAAATTATTTCTCAATGAATAAATTTGCTTACGTAAGGACTACGAGTATTATGTTATTCTTTAGGAGATTTACAGTTCTTAAAATCATATATGTTTACATTTTCGTGAAGTTATACTGAAAATACGTAAATACATCGTTACATGTGGGTTAATTTCAAATAATGGCTTTGCTACACTGGAACATTATTTATATTTTGATGCATGATTGAAGTTATACTTCTTTCGGCGCGTTAGGGAAAAATGATGAGAGTTATTTTTTTCGATGCGGGCGCACACCGCAGGAAAAACCGACACCCTGAAGTTAGCTAGACATCTACGTTTGTTTGCGTGAGAACTGACAACTGTATTCACGATATTTATTTTGTGATATTTAAATAAACTTTATTTAACTAGATAATGCGTTATAATAAAACTTTCCATATGTTAAATACCTTTTTTCCATTGTTAGTGTCGTTTTTATGTTGTCATTTTTAAACAAACGTATAATATGGCGAAAGGTAAAATTTTTTAAAAGATTTTTATCTTGTTACGCCAAAGACACACTTTTTTATGACCCAATTTAGTCCCTTTGGCACTGCGTCCCTTTTTAACTATGAAAATTAAAAATCAACGCAGTGCCAAAACAGGGTTGGGAGTTTTTCGTTGACAGTTACAAAAACGTATGGAGATGAGAAAAATAATTTTAATACTTCATCCTGATATATGTATATCTCAGTAGAGTCACAAGATATCGTGCTTTCATTAGCTTACTACTAACCTTCTTAAACATAACTTTATCGAATTACGAAATACAAATTACAATTTCATACTTTCATTTTGATAATATACCATTTTGTTTTTAAAAATGAAAAACTCGACTATGAGCAACTGATTTCATAAACTCTGTAAACTGGAATATACTCGTATATTGTCAATAACGACTTCGCAATCGATTAAGCATAGTCGTCCAAAGGAAACGTGGCAAAGAGAACAAACAAAGGAACACCTATTAATCATATTTCGGCGGGATTGAATGGTTAACGCGGCAAGAATCGAACATTTTAATTTCGCCCATGGTCTCGTGTGGCCGATCGGCCGTAAGTATTTTCATTATGTCAAACGACGCGGAACAAAGGGCAGCAAGGCTTCATTTGGCTCGTGTGGATTTCGGCGAGACGGCGCGCGGCTCTGCACTGGATTAATGTTTCGTGAATGCTTCGTAGAAGACGGCGTCACCACTTGGATTGGGTTCTTGTGTATGAAACTCAGATGCCTAATAAAATTTCTCTGACTGTTAAAAGTTAAATTACTTCATATCATCCGATTTTGCGATACGACAAGGCCTTAACGTTGAATGGTCAGATTCCAAGTCTAAGTTTACAGTGTACATTTTCTAACGATTGAAACTCGTTTCGAGCACGCTGAAAAGTTCATACGAAGTCTGGTTGCTTATTTTTGTTTTTATCTCCAACTGGGAACCGAAGGCCGAAGAAAGGTTCTCGAGTAGCAACCCCTATTGCCATCGTAGTTTAGGTTGCAAGATCTCCCTCTGGAATAAGTGATGATCTGTAGAAATATGGGGGAAGTTGATAGTTACAGCTGTCTCAGAATTGTGCTGCGTGGCTGTCTATGAGGGAAGCTTATTCAGCAGTGGAATCGAACAGGCTGAAACTGATGATGACGACGATATGGCCAAGGTGTTTTCGGCTTGAGGCGTACTGTTGATTATATTTTACGAACAGCGGGGAGATCCTGTCATATGATCGGGTCGAGCTGCCACTACGAACGCTTTCGTAAATGCTAAGTATGTAATCCAATAAACACGGAACGTGTAGAATTTCTACGTGACGTTAAATCACGCCTAATACCATAAAATGACCGCCATGTCACCGAAGGTTCAAAGATATTTGTGTACACGAACTTCGACGGTTTGTTTTCAAAGTCTCGAATGGCATATACCAAATGCTCAGAGGTAAACATTCTTTTGAAACGATCAACGAATCGGTACATAGCTGTGGTAGCTGCTCTTCGCGAAAGAAGTAACATCACAAGTACCCTTGCATCAAAAGAGATTAGTAGGTTTAAGTCCCGCTTTATCAAGATTCTTCTCCAATCCTATCTACTCCTTCCAGTACCGATTAGTAAGCGGTACGCTACTGTTTATCTGTGGTGAGCTGATTTCATATAGGTGCCATTGGCCTGTTGCCCTAAAAGCTAAGGCTGGTCCACATAACGCGCTCCCAGACCTCCGAGACACGTAATGGGTACGCAGGGCCCATTCATTTGGACCCGTAATGAGCCATGAACAATATTCGCCATTCGGTCGCACTCGCCGTGCACCGCTGACCTCTTTTTGTTCGTTCCCGTAATTTAACGTTTGGTGCTTCGACCTTTTTGCTCCTTTAAAATAAAGCATACGTAATTAAGTAAACGTGCGTACCGCCGTCCATTGTTCCCGTTGACAAGCTGGCCGTGTATTTTTAAACTCGCGTAATGTGCTATTCTTTTCTGTTTGTTTCTATCGTGCTGCTACCAAAGCTATGTTCAGATCAGTGTGGCAGCAAAAATTTGCGGATCCTTCAATGAATTATTTCGGGAGCCTTTGTTTCTAATTATGTGAATGATAGCTCCTTAAAAAATTAATACATAAGCAGTTCAGGTTCATACTTATTCGCGACAGAAAATATCGTCATAGATGAAAAGTGACTAAATAAAGTTATTGTACTTTGATTTTTGATAAAACAAGACACGAATTAACATGTCCAACTGGTACGGTGTGAATAATCAATGCCTCCCGACAGAACCAGTTCTCATGCAAATTACACAATTACACGAAAATAGTAATAATGATTAAAAAAAGTATTTGTTTCTTTTCGTAATTTAATCAAATAGATTATAGATAAGTAGCTATAAGAATCCAAAGTTGCAAATATACATAGATCGAAGAACAAAACAACTGTAGTAATATTTGTATCATACGGATTCATTCCTCGAACGACTTACGATGGCGACTTGTGGAGAAAATCGCCTGTAATATAAAAACATGAACCAAATCGACTTGTTCGAACCGACGAACGATAACACGATCGGTACCCGAAGCTAAGCGACGGCTTCCCTAATCAGATCGGTGTTGGCTTCTCGGAAAGTACAATTAATTTCTTCGAAATTGAGGCCCTGCGCCCGAGCATTGCTTCGTCGGCCCTCGTTATGTTCGTCGTTCACAACCGGATCGGTGTCACTGTGTGCGGCGATAGAGATATACCGGGCACGCCCGTCCGAGGCGTCCTTTCACACTTAGACCCCTATCCGGGCCGTTGCGTAAGCGACGAAAACAAAACAACGCCGCAAATCGAAGGATAACTTCATCGCCGCTGAGAAATCGCCCCGACACGGCCGCTGACGAGGCAAGAGCTGACGCGATTACGAGACGCCATAACGCAGTCAACGCCACGAATAAAATACGCGGCAGCGGCCACAGATCCGTCGTTGGCGCGGCTAATCAGGCCCGTCACGTCATTTTGGGACTCGAAACACACATGTATGACAATTAGCGAGCATCGCGGCGATTGACGAGGTGTTCACACACCCGTTAGTTGGCGCGTCGACGCCGAAACGCCCGAGACGTGCCGGTCTCACGTACATTAATATAAAAGTGAAACGCCACGCAATCGCCTTGTGCTACCGATGCACTACCATGGATCAAGAAGGGTCTATCTAGACACTGCCTGGCTGTCGTGTTACGTTCGTAACATACAAGTATGCTTTAACTTTAAAGAAAGCGTGTACTCAACGTATATTTAGCGGTGTTTACGCTTATTGTATGATTATTTAAAATTTAGATAATCCGTTGATCAGAGAAACAAGGCTCTCATACTTATGGACCTTCACATTGGTGATGGTGATGAATGAATGAATGAATGAATGAAATACGTTTTATTGTACACCAGACAAAATTACAAAAGTAACAAACTATTATATAAAGGTACATTTGGCGGCCTTATCGCTTAGAAGCGATTTCTTCCAGGCAACCACGTCACAGAGGATACAATGATCAGTGAGAAGGGTTTGAGGTATACGGTATTGTAAATATAGGTATTATAGACATATTGCACAACACTACTATACACAAATGATGATAGGACCGAGAGCGAAATTTTTTTCGATAAAGACAGTAGTTACTTACCAAGGTGCAGCGCAAGCTTAAAGCTCATCGTCTTTAATCAAGAAAAATTGCAATATGTCAACAATAGTATAGTGCTCAAGCGACAGATCTGCCCACTGGATAGATTCTAATACCGGGTGGACGTATTGAGTTATACTTACAGCAGCTGAACACTTAATACCCTAAAACCTGCATAATGCTGTAGACACTGAGTTATTTTGGTATTTCGCCCGTCGATTAGTGAGTAACGACAGGGAGCGAGCAATAAAGGTTCGGTAGGGAGCCGCACGGGATGTTTTGAATCGCCACTGCTTTAATTGCGTCTTGCATTAAACGACGAATCAAATTCCGACACAGCGTCCGCAACGCGCACCACACTTCAGACGTTCTCAAATAATTTGCACTTCATTAACATACTATTAATCTGGCGTCAGCAATTCACATTTATTGGAATTTAAAATTGAAATCATTCGTTATTCTTGTCTCCTCATAATATATAACATATACATGTTTTGGCTTCCTTCTTCTTTTTTGATGTTATTTCCTCTGCATATAAAATAAACAAATGCTATTTTGTCATTGATGGGATACTGCCCGCACTCGGTGTATATAGTCCTTGCTGCGTAATTAATTAAGCTCTACGTGACCGGAAGCATTAATTAATTACCAATATCGTTTCGGTACACCACAATCTAAATTACTCGTCTCCCGAGATTGATTAGTATAACTTAGTTCATTAGGGTAAATTAATCCTTTTGCTATTGTTTCTCTTCACTTCACCACCTCTCTCATCCAAGCACCCATCTGTATACTGGTTTTACCCTAAACGGGTGCGTTTCTGCTTTCACCGGTGCATTAATGTCAACCTAATTTCGTGTTAGTGGATGTAGGAATGTTTGCGGCCGCGTCGCAGCGGCATTAAGGGGCGTAATGGTGCAGTTATTATTAGGCCGCTACCAAGAGCTAACTTATACGCCGAGGGCCCCGTCGTAAATCGCGGCGAATACTGAAACAACTTCATTAGCGATATCCGTGCACTTCTATGCAATTGAGGGCTTATTTTCGGAGCCGTTGCACAATTTGGCAGCCCTACGGCTCTGCGCTTCCCTCGGATGTCGGCTTTCCCTTGGGAGTGCGCCCTCCCTTGGGTAGTGCTCAACACCGAAGTCGGATCGCATCAGACAGTTGGTGCAGAAAACAGAAAGCAAGAAACTGGTTAATACAGGTTCGGTGAAAACTTTGTTCATTTATTTGTATTCGCTTGTTTTTAGCCACCAAAATGCTCAGGGTGTACGTTATTCTTCTCACTCACTTCTTTAAAATATTTAACTCATTCTTATTTAAAATTCTATTTGACAAGCTTTTGAATATTTATTCCGATTAAAAAGACACATCAACTGTCAATGTAAAGAATTAATCCAGTAGATTCACTAATCTATAATGATGGTCTTAAAATATTACAATTATCATTAACAAAGGAAACGAAATAGAAATGGAATACTATTCAGAATAAAATACATAATTGTGTTTATTGTAAGATCCTTGTTTTTCTGTCTTGTTGTTTCAATTTCGAATTTCGAAATCTTCTAAATCTATGTTTTCGAAAATTCTAAATTACAGGTTCGGATTTGCCCGTAGACACGAAAATTAGATTTTTGACGAGCTCGGACGGTTTTTAATTTAGACCGGATGGCAGGAATTACTGAGGCAACTGTAATGCACGAAATCTCGAACAACAAAACCCAACCCAACTCTGGTAGGCCCATGCAATAGGGGTTAGTACCACGACCTCATTGAAGACCGGCGTTAAGTAGACGTGTTACACTTCTGCGTTTCCTCTGGTGAGTGAGGTAGCTGGGGCCCACTTTATTAAAAGGTGACAACGGAACTTGCAACCCTACGGCTATTGCAGATGTCCATGGGCGGCGGTTATCACTTAACATCAGGTAAACCGCTAGCTCATATGCCATGTTGTCACATAAAATATTTTTTCTAGAACTCTTAAACATCTTTCGCTCGTCGGTTATCGGTCAGCTTCTTTTCGCACATGGACAAGGCAACTTGAACTATTTATAACAGCTTTTAGGTTACTTTAAAGGTTGTTACCGAGACGTCTCCTGGCCGTGGGATTTCTCCCGTGCTGCAGAGACTTCCCAGCCGTGAATTGCTCACGACGGCCACTTAAATCTCAAATTATCTATTGTGTGCATTGTTGACTCTGTAAATATAAATTGGACTTCGCTCCAGCCGGCCGATCCGCTGTTGTTACCGTTTCCTTTTTGTGTCATAAACACAGTATCACAGAGATGTGAGCCATATAATATTGCCTTTAAATATGCTTGGCTTATAAATATATCCTTTAATATCTGTCCAAAAATCGAAGGAACAAGTCAACCAAAGAAAATCAATACAATGGCCTATTGCATTGCAATAAAAGTAGCTTATGTGTTGTTAAAAAGGTTCTCTAATTAAATATGTTTGAACCGATTCGCTTAAGCGTTAATTCGGGACAAATTGACGCCAGTCCGAATTGATTTGTAAAATCAGGACGGGCGAGGAACGAATTAAGTTCACGAATGTAAAAAAAAAAAACACTCGGCCACATTTCTCGGTTCACTGAAGGGTGTCGCCATTCGCATCGAACAGTTGCAATTTTACGAATGAGGCGTTTGAATGGGACACAATAATAACACGCCTTTGTAAATGCAGTAACGGTGTACGTGTCCTCCTAAAACGAATGGCCTCCTAAAACGATTTTTTTTAAAAAATCCCATCCACTGACATATACGAATTTGGTGAGCTATAAAGACGTTACATTATGTGAATTGCACACCGAGTATTCACCGAGATTCCAATCATAGCTCCGGTAACAAAATTAACAAGTTTATTTATAAAAAAAACCATGATTGCTTTTCACCCATCGGTCTTGGCTAAAAATGATGATAACAAAAAATCGAATTAAGTTAAATTTTCTCGTAAGTTATTAACATACAAAGTTAGAAAAATTTAATCAATATCAAAATAATAAAAATGAACATATTTGTAGAAGTCGATAGTTTCTCAGACTGTCATAAAAATTACCTGAAATCGTCATTGTAGCTGACGATCATTTGATGCATTATCCTGTTAAAGATTGTTACCTTCTCACAAAACACTTGGCAAACTACTTCATTGCCACAATATTCATTCATTCACGTTACTTTGACGAAAGTGGGACGAGTTCGAAATTCATCAACGCGCTAATTACATTAATTTATTCAAAGCAGTCACACTGGCTAACGTAATTTAAGCAACCAATAAAACGTTCGACTGCCAGTAACTTTAAGCATCTGCCCGCGAGAGTCGTCTTGGAACATCAGTTTCATTTTGGCATCACCTTTGACGGGTACGCAATGTCAGTCTGTCACCGTCATTCCAAACTTAGTTCCAAATAGTAAGATGACCAAAAAGTTAAATTAAGTTCGGGGCTCTATTATTTGTAGTTTATTAGCCGCCGGTCCAACGGGAATCGTCTGAGCAACATGTCCCATCAGGCACCGAGAGTGCATTTACATCCTTTTTTATAATCCAATTAAGTTTCTTAGCCCCGTTCTTTTCATTCGCTTACTTTATTCTAAATCAGTATTCCGATGTTGTGTTTTAATGTCGTACAATGCTTAAATGTCCCGGGGACAGAAAGAAATACGTGCTGTAACGATCTTGCAATAAATATGGGTGTAAAACATATTTCTGCGGGTACCGTGTGGACGGCGAGATTGTTTATTAAATCAAAGGGAGAAGTAATTACCATCCAGGTCCTGCTTTAATTAATAACTTAATACATTAAGAGGATTACGCGGAACAAACGTTATTGAGTGGTTAACCAATAACTGTGCACGGGAGCTTTCATACCCCCAGCGGAGCATACCGTCACTGCACCTGTTATACGGCCCACGATACTTTGATTCTAATTGCAAAAGGCTACGGTTGACATTCGCCCGTCACCTGCAACACTGTAATTCCTTATAATGTCACACCAACAGAGGAAAGGGTCTGGTACGTCTGACCAATGCCACGGACACTCGACAGTCGCATAATTAAAATTATAATCTGAATTTAGAAAAGGAAAAAGATACCGCACCGGTCTTGCCCACTCGCTAACTGATCGAGGTCCGATAAGGCTCTATTATAAATTGCCAACACTGTTTTTAATATT